ATATGTTGTTATTAAAAATGATCCTTATTGCGGACAAAAATGTAACGTCTGAAGAGACAAAAAACTTTTTGATAGTTTAGATATCGAACAACCTCTGACAAGTTAATTCATCTTTCATCTTTTCTGTTATCGGTTGAATACCCTGTTGAGTTGTTTCGGCTCCTCTGGCTAAGCTGTGCAAGAAACGAGCTGCTTGCCCAAAAAAAAGTCTCGAATGAGTGCATCTCCGTCTTTCACTAAATGATGCAAATAATGAAAACAAAATAAAATAGAAAAAATTAGTGAGGTAAAAAAAACAATCATGAAGATAAAGTCCTACCCCACATGATATCTACCACACATGCTTATTATTCCTATCCGGACATTATCTCTATCCCGCATGCTAATTTCAAACAAATCCTAACCGCATATTTATCTAGTTCGCATGCTTTGAACAGAAAGTAAAACAGGAAATAAAAACCAAGCAGCCTAGGGTTTGCAATGAGGTTTTGGGGTGGGCTCTAATTTCATGTACTCTCCCGGTTTAGGTTCTAAAGAAGGTACCCGAGTTCTCCTTGCTGATTCCCCCTTGGGCTTGCCAGATCCTTAGTCCTAAGCCCATTACAAGCTTATGTGGACTAAGTTAAACTCGAGACGAAACATTCTCTTATACCCGCACGGTGAATAAATTCACACGAAGACATAAGATATATGAATCCCGAAGGCTACTTGCTAAGCCCACACGGTGAATAAATTCACACGAATGCGTCGCTTTCACCCCCACTTAGATAAGGTTTGGAGCTCGGGTATAGAGTTTGAGAAATTTTTTTCAAAAATCTAAAATCATTCAAAAAAATGTTAGTACAACTATTTATTTGAAAAATAATCAAAAGTAATAATTAGAATCGAATAAATAAATTAAAATTAAAATTTATAACTTTCGCTCAAAAAGACAACTGAAAATTAATTTCGGCCTGACTCACTTACCTGTCCCCAGTGGAGTCGCCAAGTTGTCGCGGCCGTCTTTCGGGTGGGCTCGGAATTGGGTTTCGACTTGGATTAATTGGGGTTAGAGTCGCCACCGATCGTTTTAAAAAAATATTTAGGTAGATCAGACACCATCATACCTGATCTGCGTTTTACCAGAAATGTGTCGGGTTCGAGAGTCGATTACGATCAAGGAAGGATTAGCACCTTTGAACCGCCCTTTCGGTACCAATTAATTAGTCGGTTGTCTTTAATTGCGAAAATTAAAATTAAAATTGAAATTTGAATTACCCGATTTGAATTGTTTACCTTTGATCGATTGAAAATACTATTGAAAATGTCAAAAAATGTTAAATGGTAAAATAAAAATAAATACGAAGAAAAAGATATATATATATATATATATATATATTAATATAATAATAATATAAAATAAATGGCAAAAAATATTAATAATAATAAAAAAGGTTAGTTTTAAAAAAAGAAAAAGAAAAAAAAGATAATATAAAACATATATGAAAAAAATATAAAAGTAGTATAAATTAAGTAAAAATATAAAAAAATAATATAAAATAAAACATAAAGAGGACTAAATTGAAATAATGATAAAACAGGTGGTGAAACTAAGAAGAATTCGGGATGAAAGTTAAAATTAGGGGGTCAAAATGAAATAATTACAAAACAGGGTGACCAAAGACATAATTTACCCTTTTAGAGTTAAAAACACGCGGACCCACCTCCAGGTCGGGTTGAAGGCACGGGTCGGGCAGACGGGTTATATAAAACCCAAATTTCCCCTCCAACTCTCATTTTTCAACTCTTTCTCTGAAAACAAAATTTCCAAATCCCTCAAGCTCTCTCACACTCTCCCTTCCCAATCAAATGCTGGCCCCCGCCCGGTGGCTTCTCCGCCATGCCAGCCACCATGCCGGTCGCCGTCGGCGGGGGCCGAGATACCTAAACTTTCCCCAAGTGCTCCTCTCTACACTCCAAACAAGGATCCGAGGCCCGATTCCCCTAAAAGTGTCACAACCGATGTCGGTCTAAGAGTAAAGGTTCAACCTTTACCATTTTTTCGACAGTGACCTTTTGTTTCCCGGCGAGCTTCGGCTTGGTTTTGGTTTGTGTCTTGACCGACTGTTATTTGTTTGTTTTTTTTGCAGGGCTTCGGCCTTTGGTTGTGTTTCGCTGTGTTGATGCCTTTTCGTGTGTGGTTTACTGTTGATATCTCTCTGTTATTGTTTGGTGCACTCGTTGGTTCTGTTGGTTTATTGTTGGGTTTGTGGATGTTATTGATGGTTGTTCTTTTGTGGTCGATGATGGTTTCTGTTGATGGTTCCCTCTCGCCGTGGTTTGGTGAGTATTTATACCCACCACTAAAACTGTCTGCTTCGCCCTCCACAGGCTGTTTTTGGGGTCCTAAATGGGACGGAATCGTGGTCATTGTGGTCGGTCCCGAGATAAACGGCTGGCCGTTTCAACGTTGGTGACGCGTGACCGTCCATTGCTCTCCCATGCAGCGCAGTGACATGTGTGTCTAGGGTTTCCAGACCCTAAACCTTTGCTAGACTGGTTCAGGCCCGTTCTGTAGACAATTGGACTTTTGCTGACCACTTTGAACCGGACCAAGACATTGGACCTGGAAAAGAAAAAAATGAAATAAATTAACATAAATTACATGAATAAAATAAAATAAAAAATAATAATATACTAAATATAATTTATATAATATATATATTTCAAAATATATATTTTAGACTATATATTATATTTTAAAAAGTTTTCAAAACTATATATTATATAGTTTTCAAAATGTTTTAAAAATATTATATAAGGTTTCAAAAAACGTTTTTAAAACTATATATTATATAATTTTTCAAAAATGTTTTTAAAACTATATATTATATAATTTTTCAAAAAATGTTTTTTAAACTATATATTATATATTTTTCAAAAATATTTTTAAAACTATATATTATATAATTTTTCAAAAATGTTTTAAAAACTATATACTATATAAGTTTTCAAAATGTTTTAAAAACTATACAATATATAAATGTTTTCAAAATGTTTTCAAAACTATATATTATATTTTCAAAATATTTTCAAAAATTATATAATATATAAATTTTCAAAAATTATTTTCTGAAAATTATATATTATATTTTGTCAAAAACATTTTCACAAACTATATTATCATATACGTATATAAATATATATAACAAAATAACTTCGGACAAAAATGAGTGTCTACAGGAGCCTTAAGGAATATTTTAAGAGGAAAAATTTCAAAATAAAATATTGAATAGTTCCCTAGTCTAAATGGCTAAGGCATGACATCCCTTCACTTTCAAAAGTACACGGGTTCAGAGCTTCTAAATCTTGTCTATTATTTTACTTATTTTTCTTCATTTTATTTTAAATTTTACTATTTGATGATTAAATCTCCAAATTACTGAAATAAATTCTAGCAAAAAATTAGGGTGTGACAAAAAAAATTATGTTAAGGAGTTTTTAAACAACATAATAAAGAAAAAAAATATCATAAATGACATATTGTTTTATATATCTATCTCAATATATTCTTTGCAATACTACTATATCAAGGTATAATATAAGGATTATACAATTTCAATGACCATATATATATTTTAACAACAAATTAATCCTCCCTGAAAGTTATCCCATACACATTTTCGTCTTTTCATTGATGAAAGGATGAGCTTATTGGTAGTAGAATCATAATTTAAATAGAAAAGTAGTGTACGAAGAACTCGCCAAGTTTATAAAAATCATTTGCGCTTCTTTTTCGATTGCTACTTTACAAGCTAGTATTATTTTTTGTCTTTGTATACTCGTGTTTCACCTCATAATCAACGATGAATATATAATTTTATGTTAAAAGATGAATTTTAAAAATTTAAGAGTATTAAACTTATAAAACTTCAGATGATGAAAATATATTTTTAATAAAAATTAAAAAAAAATTAAATATATAATAATTTTAAATTTTTAAGAAGCGACTGTCTCCACTCGCGCCTTTCGGTCCATCCATGTAACGAATGTATAATTTACACACAAATCATTAACAGGTAAAAAGTTTTGTTTATGTAGTTCCAACAATGATACATGTCTCATAATGTTAATATCATAACAATTTTGTTGATGTGTGTGGAAATCAATTATTTTATGATAAAAATCAATATATAATAAAACCATTGATATTATTCCTATGATATTAATATAATAACCACTGAGTTATTGATGCAACTTAAAATTTTGTAAAATTTATTGATTCTGATTAAAAGGGTGACTAAGAAGGATCTTGTATCGAGGGCTGAAGACCGAGAGTTATGGTGGTGGCAATGGGAGGCTGTGTTGGCGATGGTTAATGACAGTTACTGGAACTTTGATCAGATAAGTCTTTTCAGATGATCATATTTATTAATTTATTTGAAGATAAAATTAATTCAATAAAATTTATAAAAAAAATAAAATTAAATATATTATTATATCAATTAAAACAAATTTCATTAGTTATTTAATAGTAATTGATTGAAAAATAAATTAAAAAATTAAACATTAAAATATTTATTAAAAATTAGATTATTAAAATATAATAAACTCAAAGTTATTCTTGTACTTTATCTTATATTGTATTCCAATTATCTCTGGCATTTTATATCTTTAAGAAAAAAGTTAATAAGCTAATAATTTGTAATATATACATTATTTTTGTTCTTATGTGTAAACTTAATTCTTTCTCAACCATAAAGCAGTGTAATTTGTCAATCAGAATGAGATTAAGGGCTCAATTACTGGGAGGCTTGCATTTACACATAAAAAACCAAATGGGTAATATTTGAGTGACGTGGAAGCCACAGAAGCCCACAACCAAAAAGGCGCAGAACAAAGCGTCAAAACCCAGAAAAGGACATCCAGAAACGGTGTCGTGTGAAACGAGATCTCCTTTTTTTGCTTCTTTAATTTAATGATGAATAATCAGTCATCCAGTTGGATGCTATGTCATAAAACCTAATCCACTCCAACATATCCCACCTGTCTTCCTTCGCACGTGTCACCTGCAAAACCCTAACCTCTCTCTCTCTCTCCCTTTCCTTCCCTGAGCTCACTATTTCCGCGCCACCTACGCACCCGACCACACCGGATTATTGTCCCCTCATTCTCTCTCTTTTTAAGACAACAATAACAGCAAGGTAACTCGTCGTACTTCAAATTCCCGTGCGGCGGTTGTTTGTTTCATCCTTAATTCTCAGCCGTCGGATAAGGGAAGTGGAAGAAGAAAGCAAAAACGAATATTTATCTCTCTTAATTGTTTGTTTTTGTAAGTGTTCCGATTAGACTTCCATATCACTTCCTTCTTCAACCCCAGGAAAACGTGTCTTTCCTTTTTCCTTCTTAGTTTTACTTTTGAAATTTTATTTTATTTTCCCCTTAATTTTAGTTAATTATTTGACCTTTGTTTGTGTTATGGCTATTGAGCATCTGTGTCGGTTTAGCCTTGATATTCAAGATTAGCTCTTTATCTTTGTAGAAAAAAAGTAATTATTTAGCAATTTATTGATAATTGTTTCATTTATGATCTTTTTTCTCTAATATGCCGGAAAGGAGATTTATAGATTCCAGCTGTAAGATGTCTATTTTTTGGCCAACCTTAGTGATTTTTTTTAAATTATAATCTATAGTGAAGAATAAGAGGGCTAAACGTTTACTGGCTTTAACTCTGGGCTATTTAAATCAGACACTGTAAATTTTGTTGTGGGGGTTTACCCTTCTATTATTTGCTAAGTTGACCCTTTTATAGCAAGAAATTAGGCGGAAGATTGTGTTTTGTTTTTGGAAAGGTAATTAGGTGAATTGAAGAATTACTTTCTATTTTAAGGTTGTTTGTTTACATAAGGATTGTTGCCTTATGTTCCAGCTCTGCTTTGTTTTCCGCATTAATAAAATCAATTACAATCATGATGCTTTCACTTGTTTGAACAAGGATGAATGTTTTATATTTTAAGCTAGGTTTATGGAAGATCAAAATAATTGAAGATCTTGATATTAAACGAGTTTATTTCTAAATTTAGCTCTTTTGATGGTTATTAAGTATTCCGTGGCTGGTATATGATGTATAGTGTATACAATATTTTTGGGATGGTCTTGTCTGCAGCTGGATCATTATCTTTCTATTTTGAAGATGTTTCATGATAATTTGCTGATACTGAAATTTGCATAGATTTATGTTCCATGAATCGTGTTTTGGCTCGTATAACATAAAAACCTTGTGAATACTCTGAAGTGGTCACATTTATCTGCTTCTGCATATCATGAATTCTGAGCTGTAGTTGCCTTTTCCTCCTCATTAGCTTCATTGGTTGATATTTTTCTCATTATTTTATTTCTGACGGATAAGGTTACTTGTATCACCTTCTAGGGTGCTTCATAAAGATCTTTGAGGATTTACGGATTTCATTCTAGTTTTGCTGAAATTCAGAGGTTTACAAAAGTAATTATGGGAACGGAAGAGGAGAGCTCACCTGCCAAGCCTTCTTCCAAACCTACTGCCTCAATGCAGGTCTGTCATTGTTGTCTCCATCCCATCAATTGGGAAGAACAAACAATTCGCCCATTTCATTCTAGCCTTCTCATCACTAACGCATTGATGAGTTTTACTGATATTTTTTCGTTGGACTTATAGGAAATGCCTACAATACCTTCATATCCTGATTGGTCATGCCCGGTGCAGGTTTGTATACTTTAGTACATAAATCCTGGTGTTTTATTTAGTGCTTTTAACTGTTGATCTTGTTTATAGAATCCTAAAAAATGTTGTCATGTAAGTGATTATTCAATCTTACAATCCAACTTCTTGTTCAGGCCTATTATGGTGCTGGAGCTGCCCCACCTCCCTTCTTTGCCTCAGCTGTTGCTTCACCAACTCCGCATCCATATATGTGGGGAGGCCAGGTGATACGGCTTTTGAAATCTCCATTGTACACCAATGTGTTATTTTTCTTTATATTTGAACAATGTTCTTACTTTCTTTTTCTTTTGATGATCTTTTAGCATCCTTTAATGCCTCCATATGGCACTCCTGTTCCATACCCAGCTATGTATCCTCCTGGGGGAGTCTATGCACATCCTCATATGATCCCGGTAATATTTCTCTTCTTTCTTTCTTTCTCTGTTTGTCACTTTTTGCTGTTTATATTCCTTTTGGTTTTCATTTATAAATTAAATGTCCTTCCTCTTGGCAATTTTTTTGTATAAGGCTCCAAGTGTTGCACAGAATAATACTGACCATGAAGGGAAGGATGCTAATGGGAAGGATCAAAATGCCTCCGAAAAGTTGAAGGGAACTTCAGGAAGCAAGGCTGCAGAAAGTGCAAAGGGAGCTTCTGGCTCTGGAAACGACTGTGGCTCTCAAAGGTGCACTAGGCTTTTGATTTTTACATTCATTCGTAACATGGGTTTTGGTTAAAAAGTTTCTCCATTTTTTCTGCCATGTCTTTTCTAATTCTAAGCATTTTCTTAACAGCTGTGAAAGTGGTAGTGAGGGTACATCAGATGGAAGTGGTGAGAATAATAACAAAGTATGTGCGCAGATATCATTATAAGCATTTTCTTAACATAGCATGTTAATATTATGAATTGTCTTTTCTAATGAATATGTCTCCTTTTTTCCCCTTTAGGAACTTGCTACTGGTAAAAAGGGAAGCTTTAACCAGATGCTTGCAGATGGTATATTATGCTTCCTTATCATATTTCTGCTTTTATTTGTAGGGAAAAAAAAGCTTCAGATTACTTTGAAAAATCGTTTCAGACACACAAACTTACTTGTGACGGGGAGTGAGGAAGTGAGGGACTAAGTTAATGAAATTTGAAAACCAAAATTAAAAAAAAAAAAAAAGTTGCGAAGTGTGTTTCTCTGTGATGAACTTAGGGAGGATTTTTTATACCGTAATAGTTTACTACTTACAAATCACCCTTATTACAGCGAGCGCACAGAGTAACAAAACTGGGGCCGTAGTTCCTGGAAAACCAATAGTCCCAACGCCTGCAACCAACCTGAATATAGGGATGGGCCTATGGAGTGGATCCCCTGCAGCCACAGGAGCTGCGAAAATGAGACCTAACTCGTCTGGTGCTGTGGCTGCAGTTCCTGCTGGAGTTGTGATGCCTGAACGGTGGATTCAAGTATGAGCATGTTGAGGCTATTTTTTTTCTTCTTATTTTACATGTTCATATTACTATTTTCTCCGTTTCTGATCCAATATTCTGCACCGGAGTTGTTAAAATTCACCTTAGTCCTTTAAGGTTCAACTTTCTTTGCTCCCTTTTGCATCCTTTCAATCAGCTAAACATTTTGGATATGACATAAGGCCTAATGTTCTTCCAGGATGAACGTGAGATGAAAAGACAGAAGAGGAAGCAATCTAATCGGGAGTCTGCTAGAAGATCAAGATTACGCAAGCAGGTACCTGGTTATATCTGTTTGTCTACCAAATGGCTCTAGAACTTATCTCCGTATTCGGAGCCTAACACCTATAGCTTGTATCGTGTTTCCGTAGACCGAGTGTGAAGAGCTACAAGCCAAAGTGGAGAGCTTGGCGAACGAAAACCATAATCTGAGAGAGGAACTAAAGAAGCTTTCTGTTGAATGTGAGAAGCTTACATCAGAAAATAGTTCTATTAAGGTATAGAACAGCTTTGCTCTTGCTATTCTTCATTCAACGATAGTCTATTAATAATGTGTTGAGATCACCTCTTCCCTGTCGCAAATTCTCAAGTGCATTATCGATAAATATGTTTGGCTACTTCTATAACAGGATGAGCTGACACGGATATGTGGACCTGATGCGGTAACTAATCTTGAGCAAGGCGACGAAGGGAAGCATTAATAGGAAACCTAGAACAGGTAACAGGCAGCCAATGCAGTAGTTTCTCGGCATCCTGGAACATTATTTTCACCATGGATTCGGTTTAGTTACTAATCTATACCCTTAACCCGTTATAACTGTAATGTCTATTTTTACAAACAGAAAACAGTTTTAACTAGCTTTCAAATAGTTGGTATTGTTTGTAGTTTATTAGGAGCGAAAGAATTGGGGATTGATTCAGAATATTTTCACTTTTATATGGAATACAAGGTTTGATTTTATTGCGTTTCTTTAAAGAACCAATCCACATACCTCAACTGTTAATATTTAGATAAATATGTTGGATGGGGTTTTTAAACCTCATCAAATTTCTAAATATTTAATAATATATGCTATTACAAGTAAGGGAGCCCTGGATCAATTCGAGTAAAAAAATTCAAGTTGAATTGATAGTCTCATTTTATTGAATTTTTTAGTAGAGTTGAGTCAAATTTATAAAATTGCGATTCAAAATTAATTTGAATCAAGTTGAAAAAATTAATTTTGTGATTTGAGTTGAATTTTACTCATCCGCATTAGTGTATTATTAACTTATTACTACATTGAATCATTGTATCGCATGTCTAAACAAGATGAACCTTTTTACTAGTATATATGTATATGATCAGTGTAAATATATATATTTTATTTTTAAGTGTTGAATGCAGTAATTAAGAATTATATATTTTAAAATATATATTATAAAAAATATTATTTCGAATTTCCAATATGATTTAGCAAATAAAACAAATACCAATAATGAAAAAGGCAAAGGAAAAAATGAACAGAATTTAGCCTTTGGATACATGAGCTACTGGTACAAGCATTATATGGAAATGGAACACCCAAATCTTATTATGTTATATGATAAGAAGGAACTAGGCAGGCCTAAAGGTACTCTCCAATCTCCCAGCTCTTTTACTTGCGATAATTAATTTACTAGAACCGAATTTTAATTACCCAAAATAGAAAAATCCATGCAAAATACTAAAATTCTAAATCCCGCTAGACTAATTTCATATCTAACACCTCCATGCTGACGTGGCAACCAAGGCGCTCTCGTACCAGCAAAGCACCAACTCAGTCTGTCTTTTCGCCACGTGGAATCCCCGAACCTGCACCCTCCCTAACAAACACTCCGCTTGAAACTCTGCCAACTGACTCAAATGCACCGCCCTCATCCCTGCCCCTCGAAACCTCTCCCTCCACGTAGGCGCCGTACTCCTCGCCGCCCTCTCCACTGCCGCCAATATCCTCGGCCGTAACAACAACGTCTCAATCTTCCTTACCCATTCCCCGTTAGCCACCGCCGCATCCAATGACTCGAACATCATTGCATAGAACTCCAAACTGTTAACGAAATTCTTTCTAAACGACGTCGTCCCAGACTCCATCCACACTTCACTGTCTACAAACACTACGATGCTCGGGTTAACCCTCCGGAGATCACTCAAGAACGCTGTCACGTCTAAGGTGAGACATCGGAATATAGACGGAGACAAAAGGATCGCCGTTTTCTCCCCGTCGATGAACTTAAAAGCCTTAAACGACAACATTTCGAATGTCCGAAGGAGAACGAACTCAATCTGGAACCTTAGCTTAAGGTCTTGAGCAAACTGAACAAGGTTGTCTTTAATAAGCCTTGTCTCAATTGCATATTCCTCGGGAACCACCGCAGTTATACGAATGAACTTACAAGAGTGGTCGTTTATTTCGGCCATTTCTCTCATCAAAGAAGCGTATTGGCCACCCAATCCGATGTCGAAATCAATTATGTGAATCAACGGTGCCGATCCATCCAGGGCTTCCAGGAGAGCTTGATTGGTCGTGAATTGACTGAACATGGGAATAGGGTTGATCCCAGAGAAGGCCTTGTAGGCTTCGATGGTTTGAACGATTTCATTCCACGAAGACAAACGAGTCGACCGAGTTGACCCGGAGAGCAGACACTGGAGAGCTTCCTTGAAGTAAAAAGCGGCTCTCTGTAACGGCTTCCCGGACTGAGATCGTAGCCGCTGACTGAGCCGCGCCAATATCACCTGCGCCAGTTGCAATTCGTGGGTGTCGAAACAATCCGCGGCTCTTACCAGCTCTTCTATAAAATCAAACCCCAAATTGAAGTTGCCGGTATTATGAAAACCACAACTATTAGACATATCAAGGTAGGTAGTACCACCAGTAAAATTACTTTGAAGAGATGTGTTTTGATTCAAACCCGAATAAAAATCATAAAGGTTGTTAAACTCGGAGTGATGAGTCGAGTCGCAGGAGGTGAACTCGGGGAGGTTCTGGATATGATTCTCGCAGGAAGGAGTAATAGCTTGAGGAGGAATAGTTTTGATAGACGGTACTGATTCGTCATCTAATCCCAAATCTTTCATGATGGAATCCCAATCCATGTTTCGTAGCACATGCTCGTCCCACTCAAGAGGCGTATGACGGTGATGAGGTGGAGGATCGGATACCACGATACAATTAGAAACATCGGATGGATTAGATATCGACTTTTCTGGTGCCGGATTCGGACTTCGACGAAGATCGAGAACTGAAGTTGGCTCATGGCATGAGTTTGACACACTGTTAACCCCATGGAAACTTGTGTTCCTAGCTGTATTGTTATTAGTAGTAGTAGTAGCACCAGTTTTATTGTTGTTAGGTTTAGGGCTTCGACAATGGTTGCTTTGTGGAGAAGAAACCGGGACTCTCATAGCTTTTGAAAAGGAAAAAAACGAAGAAAGGGTCTCTTTTGTTTGCTTGGATTTGGGGATTAATGTGGAATTAGGGTTTGAAAGTAGAAGATTGGAGGCAGGGGGGATTTTAGAGGTTAAAATTGCAGACCTTTTATATTTGCATGGGGGGTATCGGTGGAAGCATGGATGAGGATGGCATATATGCATGCTGGAGACAATACCAGACCTTTCCTTTTCATCAACTTTGATGCTTCTCACTCAAGCTTTTGCTTTCTTACAATGTTTTTCTTTTGTTGTAGGATTCCCACCCTTGTATTTTCTTTTGTTGTAGGATTCCCACCCATGTATTTTCTTTTGTTGTTGTTTCTTTTCAAGATCCATTATTTTTTATATATGTCAAAGTAAAACAAAAAGGCTCCATCTACATTAGTCTTTTCTGTTACTGTTTTCATAGAATCTTTATATGGTTTTATATTTATTTGATTTGATTAATTATTTGATTTTTCGTATATATATAAAATGATAATTATTTAAAAATTAATTATCAATGAATTAATGATATTAAAGAGATAATAATAAATGAATGGTTTTTATTAGTTGAAACCATACCTCACTATTTATTTTCTTAGATTCAGCACAGATATAAAGGTATGCTCAAGTAACATAATATATAAATCTTTCGTGAATTCAATAAACACATAAAAATTAATTAATTACATGCCAACGTAAATTGATGCTACCTATATAAATACCAATTATCCACTTGTGTAATAATTAATGAAAGGTCATATCAAACATCCACTTATATAATATTAATTAATGAATTAAGTATTGAGTTTTAGATGATGAATTATATTATTTAAGCAAGAATTTAATTTGCTTACGAAGTTGCAATAAGTTAAAATTCCTAGGAAAACGAACTCGACCACAAAACAGATAAAACCCTAATATGTTTTTTTAAAATTATTGTATAAATAGACATGCGACCGAACCTGCTCTCATGGGAAAACAAAGGGATTAAAAACTACAATATCATAACATAATACGTCCAAACAAATTGAAATTTAACATCACAAACAAATTAAAAACAAAGGGATTAAGGTTTATTTTTCTTTTATTTTGCCCCCACAAACACAAAAGTAGTAAAATAGGGAGCAAAGACAAGCACATCCACCCCCGTTCACATATATCACCTAAGAAAGGGGAGTACACTGTCATAAAGTAATTTTGAGGGTTGAGAGAGGCCACTTTTTATGGGTCTCATCCCTTCATGATTGACTTATAAATTCATCTATCTTTTACTTCTGAATATATATAGTAAAAGAAAAAGAAAATGTTATCGATTTAACTGTTTTATTTAAGGGTTTTATACTAATTTTCTTCACATTTATTATGATCCAACTTTAGATTTATTTCGACTTGAGTTTGATTATAATTGTGTTCGTAATTATTGCCGTGTAGAAAAAAGATTTTATAGAATTTAAAAAAAAATATTAGTTTAGTTAACTTGTACAATGACTGAAATAAGAAGTAACATGAGATTTAAGGTTTGACTCTTGATATATTATCTATATTCAGTGATTATTCTGAATTAACATAATGCGATCGATTATATAAAGATCTTAATTCCCAACGTCATGTCATTAATTTAAAAAGGTCTTCTAAATCATATCAATTTCATATTTGTAAGTTATTTTCTTGTTGCACAAGAAGATAATATAAAATTATTTTTGCATTAGGTAATTTTAAAAAAAAATTATATCTCTTTCTGATCTTAAATTAATAATCCCATTTTAATAAATTGTATAGGGCCTTAATCTTTCATCTGCCCTTATTTATTATGAAATAATATTATATATATATTGAGTTTAAAATCGTTGTCATTGAAAAAAGTCGAACATACAAAATATTAATACTATAATATTATTTAATTCTATTCGTAATGTTTACGAAGAAGAATGGTTTTTATATTAGTTAAAAGTATCATTTTCTGAACAATGAATCAAACAAGTAAACGTTAACCAACAACTGTGTGAATTCTCAATAAAATTTTAAAATTCTTAGTTTAGAATACGAATAAGTTGTTTAAACTTGAAATTATACATGAATAATTCTCTAGTAAATAACTTTTCGGCTTTGTGGTGACTAAAAGCCTTCATTGACTTCTTAATCAACATGTCTTAGTTCAATCAACCAAATCTGCGAGTCGCAAGAAGTTAAGATATTCAGCATAGAATCTCCACCGATTTTCTCGAGAACCAAACGACTTCGAAAGAACGACAAGTGATCTCATCATAGAAGAAAAAGTTGAGGCAAGGGCACTTCCCCAGGAGGAAAAATCAAATCAAATTATTTAAGAAAACATATAAATAAAGAATAGAAATAGAGCGTTCATATTAGGTAATAAGCGCAGCGGCGGCGTCGGCCATCGCTCCGTTGAAAAAAATTCTTTAAAAGAAAAAAGCTCATGGAATAGTTGTTGACAAGCCAAGTCATGTCTTCTCTTTTAAATAAGGGACCCATGCCATGCAAATGGACGTGTGTGACGTGAT